AAGAAAGAAAGAAAGAAAGAAAGAAAGAAAGAAAGAAAGAAAGAAAGGAAAAACAACCCAGCCCCAAACACCACCAGGGCTCCGACCTGTCAGGGTTGGTTGCTTTTCCCCTCCGCCTCTAAATGAACCTTTTCTCTCTGGTGTTTTCAAAGCGGCCCCTCCACCCCCCAACCTAGGGGCATTTACACTTCAAACAAGGCGCCCGCCTCCCTGCGGAAATTTAAAGGAAAATAAACTTTTGGGGAGTTGCTCTGATACCGATCTCGGGATTTGCTTCATTAGCCGCCTCTCTGCATCTGATCTGTCCAATAAATCTTCCTTGTGGATCTCAGCTCCGACTCTTTCCCTCTTTCGCTTCTTAGTCGCTCCTGACTTCTCCCTCCCTCACAGGACAGGGAGTTTGGCTAGATAAGATCCAGGCCCCCTCCAACCTGCTCTTCTCCAATACCCGGTGTTCACCAGGAACACAGAGGACTCAGAGGCTGCAGCCCAGGGGTTCTTCTTTGGCTTGTGTGGCATGCTCTGCATGTCAGTGCACTATCTTGTTGCTAGGATTTAGGCTACAAGAGTATTTCCTTGGTTTGTGGCTACAGAGGTGTCAGTAGTATACAGGGGATGCTACTGAAAGGTTATCTAGTTGTGCACGTGTATACATACGTGAAGGGTACGAACCTTAGGTGCGACTTGCATGCCCATAGATTCCAGACCAGTATTATTGCTGCATATACACATAAACCATAGACTTGCTATCCATATCTACACCTACATCTACATGTATATGTATATGTATATGTATATCTATCTATATCTTCTCCTGTCCTTCTGCACGTGTCCCAGTGGATGCGTGGGGAAGAACTTCATAGGATACTAAGTGGTATCCCGTTTTGTTTGTGGCGAGAGCTCCAGTGCTCTCCATCCATCACTAGGGCCCTTTACTTCCCCTCTTGCCCCCTTTTAGAATTCCAGGCTGGGATTTCGATGGGGGGAGAAATGGAGGCCAGTGCCTTTGGAAAGGGGGGTGAGGAGTTGAAGGCTTCCCCTTCTTTCCTTGGATCTTATCACAGTGCAAGGGCCTGAGGGTCGAGGGTCGTGTCCCGGGAGGCCGAGAGTGTCCGGATCCCACAGCTGTAGCCCCTGCGTAATGCAAGAAAATCTCACCCTCGCCCCTCCCCCCCCAGTGGCCCTGCCGCCTCCTGCCTCCCTCCCTCCACCTCCCGGGGCGCAGCAAGGGGAGCTGGGGCTGGGGCTCTGAGGGAGGGGATTAGAAA